TCTCTCTCTTAATGAAACGGACTAAACAGTTGAAACGAATGATTTTCTAGACTTACGAGGAAAGGAATTATCATATATTTTACCAAATGTGCGCAGCGTCAGCTCGTCTCCCGCACTTGCATCTGGGCCACCAGAATAAGTTTCACTATCTGAATCAAGGAAATAATCCTTTGATAGACGGTGTGGATGACTTGGTGTGTTTCGATGAAACGATAAGCGCACTGACCATGCTTGGGTTCTCGTCCAAGCAGCAGGATGACATGCTTCGTATTTTAGCGGCTATTATACATTTAGGAAACGTTCATATAGGAAACGTCGATTCCAACCAAAGTTCGAACAACGAGAGCGACACCGAGGCTAGTTACATTCATGTAAATATCACTTTATTCCATTTTAGTTTTACAATGGAAAAATCCATTCCGTCTTGCTCAATTAAAACGTTCTGTTCAGCAGTTTTTTTCTTCTTCCACTTGAAATATTCAAAGTTCCCCCCGTGCTTTTTACCTCTCGAGTAAGATTTACACTGTACAAGCTAGATATTTTAGATATTTTAGACAGAGAGGAAAAACATAAAGCACATAAAAATATGATATTTAATAGCAGATTGCAGATATTTATTTATATATTTTCATGAATCAGCATCACCTCGCATGAAAAATTGTTTTACATTTTCGTGTTCACAGTCTAACGATGAAATTTCGAAATAGATGGAACGTTTTAATTAAAAAGAGGTGTACAGACGTTCGATGTATCTTGATCGCAATCGTTTCAGCCGTCGGACAAGCATCTTTTGACGATGTGCGAGTTATTGGGCATCGACGTGAGTGCAATGAGAAAATGGCTGTGCCATAGGAAAATCGTGTCGATGAGAGAGGTATTTTTAAAGCCAATGAACGTGGAACAAGCGATCGCTGCCAGAGACGCACTGGCCAAGCATATTTACGCGGAGTTGTTCAACTGGATCGTGAATGGTATCAATAACTCGCTGCAGTCTCAGAACAAGCCCCAGTGTTTCATCGGTGTCCTGGACATTTACGGTTTCGAGACGTTCGAGATCAATTCGTTCGAACAGTTTTGCATAAATTACGCGAACGAGAAGCTTCAGCAACAGTTCAACCAGCACGTCTTCAAGCTAGAGCAGGAGGAATATTTCAAGGAAGAGATCGAATGGACCTTCATAGATTTCTATGACAATCAACCGTGTATCGATCTCATAGAAACGAAACTGGGTATCCTCGACTTGTTGGACGAGGAGTGCAGGGTCGGTAATATTTTCGCTCTCCCTCCTTAATTTTCGTTATCACGTTCCGTGGCAAGCGATTTTTGCCTTTTGTTGTCGTTCAGGCCATTTGTATTACATCATCAATCGATAAGTAGTTCTCTTGTTTAGAGTAGCTATCACATCGTTAAATCATCATCAATCGATAAGCAGTTCTCTTGTTTAGAGTAGCTATCACATCGTGTATGTACCACTTGTGGTAATATTATTAGAAATACATGCTGGTACACGTGGCCTGAAGATCAAGTTTAACGTGTACCACCGGTGGTACACATGGCACGGAACCTGTTAAGATTCGTCAGGTTTTTACACAGTCGAGGTTTTCACACAGATGCCGAAAGGTTCGGACAGTTCGTGGGCGGAGAAACTTTACTCGAAGTGCGGGAAATCCAAACACTTCGAGAAACCACGATTCGGAACGTCTGCCTTCTTGATTCACCATTTCGCCGACTTGGTGCAATACGAAACGATTGGGTTTTTAGAAAAGAACAGAGACACCGTTATCGAGGAACAGGTTGACGTGCTGCGAAACGGAAATGTATGTAAAATTCACATAACTCGACGCTTCGGACTACGGTTACAGCGGATTGCGTGTTCTGACGAGCTATCGTTCTAACGAATCACATATCTGACGATCGAAATGCACACACACACACACGGAGAAATCGACATGTTTGATTGCTACGATAGACTTTTCAAGACACGAATCCACTGTAGTCATAGTGTTGAGCGCATAGATATCTATACAGGAAATTGTTCATGTCGTTTATTGTTTCAGAATAAACTGTTGAAGAAATTATTCAGCGAGGAAGATCCAAAGCTGATGGTACCGCCGAGCGTAAGAGTGAAAGTGTCCGCTCAAAAGCCAGTATTAAGTACGCCTAAGCAAAACAAGAAAACGGTAATCTTTTAATGGGGTGGAAATTTTCCTTCGCCATCCTCTGGTGGTCGATAATTTCAATGGATAAACGTTTGTTGTATGTTTGTACAAAATGTGTAGGTGGGTTCCCAATTTCGCGACTCGTTGAACATGTTGATGTCGACGTTGAACAAAACTACGCCGCATTACGTGCGCTGTATCAAACCGAACGATACGAAGGAAGCATTTGAATATAACCCAGTTCGCGCGGTGCAGCAATTACGAGCTTGCGGTGTTTTGGAGACGATCAGAATATCAGCGGCTGGATTCCCCAGTCAAAGAACGTACAGCGAATTCTTCCTCAGATACAGATGCCTCTGTAAATTCAAGGATATTCGACGGGACGACCTCAGGGAAACCTGTCGACGAATATTGGACAGGTTAGTTACATTCACTTTCATTACCATTCCAATGTCATCTCCTTTTCTCTTCTGCGATAAATCGTTTATAATATGAAAAAAATAAAAAGTCACAGAATTTTTTGACTAATCGAAGAAAAAGAGACGTACGTTAAATTGTCTCTTTTTCACTATGAATTCACCAAACAACCCAATATGTTAATCTCACGTAATACAAACGGGATTTCTTCAGGTACATCAAGGATGAAGATAAGTTTAAATTCGGCAAGACGAAAGTCCTTTTTCGCGCTGGTCAAGTGGCTTATCTAGAAAAGCTGCGAGGCGAACGACAACGAGACGCTTGTATTATGATCCAGAAAACGGTGCGCGGTCTGATCTGTCGCAGTAGATACAGGAAGATTCGACGCGCTGTACTTGGCCTTCAAAGATACGGAAGAGGTTACATCGCCAGGCAGAAAGCTCAGGCAGTGAGGGAGGAAAGGGCCGCGATAAAGATTCAAGCGCGTGTGAAAGGTTGGCTGAAGAGGCGCCGATACCTCCAGATAAAGCGCACAATTCTTGGTATTCAGACGTATGGCAGGGGAAAACTGGCGCGAGAGAAATACGAACGAATGAAAGACAATGCCGCGGCGATTGTAATTCAGAGGTTCGCCAGGGGTTACCTCGTTCGAATGGCGTGCAAGAAAAAATTGAAGGATATTGTAATCGTTCAGTCTTGCGTTAGAAGGCGCATGGCAAGGAAAGAATTTAAGAGGTTGAAGGCTGAAGCGAGAAGCGTGGAACACGTGAAATCCCTGAACAAGGGATTGGAGAAGAAGATCATGACGCTACAGCAAAAGATCACCGAACTTGTATGTTTTAACAAGTTTATTTAGAAGTTATTTAGAAGTTTAAAATAATTTTGATTCTAACGATGAAATTATTTGATTTTTAGACGAAAGAAAATCAGTCGTTAAAGAACGTTCAAAACGAGATGATCGATTTGAAGCACAGATTAGAAGGATTGAAATCCGTAGACGCGGAAAATAAGAAGTTAAACGTTATATTGATAGAGAAGGAAAGAGAATTAGAAAGGATGCAGAATATTGTGAAAACTGAGAGAGACGAAAAAATGGATATTTTACAGGTAAATGGATATTTTACAGGGTATTTTAGAAAAGGCTATTGAGTGTCGTATATTTCATTCAGGACAAGGAAAGGAATACGCAAGAGAACGAACTGGAGAATAAGGAACTTCAAAGTGAAATCGAAAAGTTGCGAAAAGAACTCTCGGTAGCTAATGAGAAGCTGAAGAATAACCAACGCGGTGCTGAAGAGAATTTGAAGCATCGTTTAGAACAAGAAAAAGATCTTCTCCTGCTGGATCAGGATCAAGATCGTGGCGCTTATCAGAAATTATTGAAAGAGTATCACGAGTTGGAGCAACATGTAGAAATATTAGAACAGAAACTCGCTATGCACGCCCCTGCACACTCGCGTTCTCTCAGCAATGCTTCCAGTAGTAGCGGGCAAATCGTATCTACGGAACTTCCACAAGACGATCAAAATATTGTAAAATTATCTTTTATATATTTTCATATAGATTTAGTTTATTTTTTTCCAATATATATGGTTTAACGTTTCCTTTAATTCCGTTCAAATAAGGATCTCGGTTACGGGTCAGTAAGATCAACTGCTCCTTCTTCGACCTCTTATTCGCGATTAGAAACGATTGATTGGAATCAGCAAAGATCAGACAGCCCGCCCGAAACGAATGGTCCGGCTCACGCGCCGGTAGATATCGGATTAGTATTGAAGCTTCAACAGAAATTAAAGGACGTTGAGAAAGAGAAGGGAAGATTAATCAGGATGGTGGAAGATTTGGAACGTGATAGCCCTGAAGAAACTTCGAGGATGCAAGATACATTTAGGGTAATTCCACGTGCTTGATCGAGAAATTGAAAAAAAAAAGTCGATCTATCGAAGTGATAATCACTAACAACTAATGATACGATATTAAAATTATTTTGTAGCTTCAAGAATTGGAAATGGAAAATGCTCAGTTAAAGAAAGATTTAGGTTCGTTAAGAAAAAGTGTTTCCACAGGCCTAACTGGTGCACAGCAGAATCTCATGGGTAATTTGTTAATTTACATAGCTAAGGAATTCTTTCATTACTTGCTTTATCGAGTGCTGTAACATTTGCTTAATTTTTCATCACGTGTGCTCGTTTAGCCTAGTCTAGTTATAGTTAGTTTACTCTGTTACAGTTTTATCTGTTTTATTTTTCTGTGCCAGAAAATTATTCATTAAACAGAGCTAGGTTCATAAGATGTGCAAATAAACAACTGCGTCATCGTAGATTTAGCCTTTGCTTTTTGCTGTCCTTTATCTGCTTGATGTATTCACGTTAATGTTAATAAAAAACATTTTCTGTAAATCTTTCTTCAAAAACTTTATACTTTATACTTTCAAACTTTGATACTGAATAACCATAGCCCACGCCACATCACCTCCTGTTGCTATTATTTATAATGTTGAAAGCAATAAAATACTTTAGAAGACATTCGCTTTTCTTTCGCACGTTTCATTTTATACTTATATCAAATAATTATCTGACGAAATAAAAGAGATAAGATAAATAGATAAATGAGGGATACGATAAATAATTTCTATTTTAGGACAATTCGATGCGCTTCAAGAGGAGCTCGAAAGAAGACGAGAAGAGTGTATTCAATTGCATAGCGTGTTAGCGGATAATACCCGAAGAATGAAGAGCTTAGGCTCGAATTATGGCCGCGATGTGGATATTATAAACGAAGACGGGGAATTAGTACTTGCTTTCGAGACTCAGAAAAAGATCAATAGGTATTTTGAAATTTTCTAAATTATTTAGTTTTTTTTTTCCATGGAAGGGAGATATTAAATCGTATCTAATCGTGTTTTGTCGTTTGTGCATGCACTTCAATTTTCAGTAGTCTTAAGACAAAGCGAAAGGCCTCGAGAGAGTGAGTTGAGCAGATATTTTGCAGCGATTAATCAACGATCCATCTAGCGACCATTACACCTTTCAGTCGTGATAGACCAGCGAAACTTGTCGAACATTCATTACTAAATATCTCATTTGTTCATCGTGATTTAGCGCTAGTTCTTACGACTTTTGATTGTAGTTTATTGGGAAGAATATGTGAAATGATCTTATTTATCTTTATTTAAAGGCAATTGGAGGATGAGCTTCAAACGAAGGAGAAAGAGTGGCGGGCACAGAGGGATGAATGGCGTGCAGAAATCGATAGGTTGCAGGAGGAAATTGAGAAGCAGCAGAAATTGCTGTCCGTGAATTTGAACAAATCGCCGCAGACTCAAACTGAGGCATATATGCAACACGAAATTGCTAGGCTTACGTCCGAAAATTTGGTAAAACTCTGGCCCTAGTAATCAAGTGAAATAAAATGTTAACACAATTTCTAATGACAGTATTAAATTGCAAACAGGAATTACAAGAAAAATATGATAAAATAGCAGACGAATGCAGGAAATTCAAGAGACAGTGCAAAATACTTGCGAAACGTCTGAGAGATGCGGGTTGTAAGTATAGATTGCTAAAACTAATCAGGCCAGAAATAAATTTTCTTTATTTATTTTTAAACGATATGGAGGGAATAGTTACATGGTAAAAAGTCATTAAGAAATAGTATTAAAATTGTGTAATATTTAATTGCTTTCTAAGATGAGGGAGACGATACTAAGGAACATAAGGATCGCCCTTATATGACAAAGGGCGCCGGTGAGTGCATGGTCCAACGTTCATTGCACTTCTCGTACACCATAACTCACCTTAATTTTTATAAACTAACATCCATCGTATCATCATTTTAAATTCTGGAATTTCTTAAATTTGATCATCATTGTATCAAAAAAATTATCTCATACATTCTCGTTTTTATTTACTTTACATTTTTAGATTATCAGTTTCTTCGCAATACAAAAAGACAAAAAATATTTAATACTTATCTTACAGTGCCAGATACAGCAGAATCTGTAAGCGATTCTACGATAATGTCTTCCACTAATCATTCGGGAGATAATGGAAGCAATTTGCCAGCCATCCGGAAGAAAGAGAGAGACTACGAGGGCATGTTCGAGTTTAGGAAAGAAGATATCAATGTGATAATACGTCATCTCGTTATTGGTAAATTTGGTTCATTTTACTTATGTTGAAAGTGCCAGTATTTTTGAACTATAACTAATCCTTTTTCTAGATTTAAAGCCTAGAATCGCGGTGACATTACTTCCTGGTCTGCCAGCCTATATACTTTTCATGTGTATAAGGCATACAGACTGCATAAACGATGATGAAAAAGTGAGATTGTTATTAACGGGCTACCTTAACGCTGTGAAACGTGTGGTCAAAAAACGCGAGGACTTTGATTCTAGTGTACTCTGGTTCAGCAACACCTTAAGATTGTTACACAGCATGAAACAGTATTCGGGAGACAAACCTTTCCAGATTGAAAACACCCCAAGACAGAACGAACAGTGTCTTAGAAATTTCGATTTAAGCGAGTATCGGGTTGTATTGAGCAACGTGGCGCTTTGGATTTTCAATAATATCGTAACGAATCTTAAAGAAAGAATTCAGGCTCTGACGGTTCCTGCTCTCCTTGAACATGAAGCCATATCAGGTCTGAACTCTAACAAACTCGGTCGACCACGATCGTCTTCCATGGGAGAAGAACCAGAATCAACTCAGCAAAAACTTAACAAACTTCTCGAAGAACTTACCTCAGTATATAAAACGCTTCAGTTTCATGGTGTTGACTCTGAGATCGTCGTGCAACTTTTCAAACAACTGTTTTATTTCATGTGCGCTAGTGCTCTGAATAATTTGCTTCTAAGGAATGAACTTTGTCACTGGACAAAAGGCATGCAAATAAGGTTCGTGAAAGTTACAAATTTTATTAACAAGTGTGACTGTTTAATTAACGTTGTGCCTTCTTTAGATATAACTTGAGCCATTTGGAGCAATGGGGAAGAGATCGGAAATTAGAACCAGCATCCGAAGCACTTCAGCCCATTGTACAAGCAGCACAGCTATTGCAAGCTAGGAAAACAGATGAAGATGTCAATTCTGTATGCGAGATGTGCAACAAATTGACGGCAAATCAAATAGTAAAAATTCTAAATTTGTATACGCCAGCTGACGATTTCGAAACGCGCGTTCCAGTTTCGTTTATCAAAAAGGTACAAGCCAAATTGAGTGAACGTGGTGAAAACAACGAACAGGTAAGTCTGAAATTCACTTTATGTTATTTGATCAAAGGAATAATTAATTGGCAATGAATCTCTTCCAGCTGTTAATGGATCTTATGTATTCGTACCCAGTAAGGTTACCATTCAATCCATCAGATATTCGACTAGAGGATATCGAAATACCAGAAGTACTTCATTTACCCATGCTCAAAAAGGTATAATCATAGGAAAGAAGAAATTTAGAGGCCCTGCTGTGCATATAACTTTTAGTTGAGTAACAGTCTAACGAATAATTGAATTCGTATAGCTTATTTATTAAAAAAAAAGAAAAAAAAAAGAAAAAAAACGAAGGAGACGAAGAGGAAGAAAAGTAATTTAAATTACTTTGGTCATAATAGGTAACGCATCGAGAGGGGTCATTATATTTTATATATTTTTTTTTACTCGTGTAATTTGTATTTTATGACTCATCATTCCTATTCTTCCGCATAAAAATGTCGATTCAACGAATCCGTTATGACAGATTTTCGTTATTAATGTATATAGCGGTTGTACGTCAAGATTTAAGAACAGTGTTGATATAAGGCTCTGCTGGGGCTTGCAATTTAAACATCTGAATTGGATGAAAACATTAGACGTACGCTACATAAGAATAGTGAGATATGTACAGGAATACAGGAATGCAAGTATATACGATGAAACGAAGTGCCGAATTCTGTATCGATAAGATACAGAGATGTTGTTATCGAGATTAAAGATGTTTAAGAAGCGTGTTTTACGGTATTGTTAGTCTATCAAAGGTTGTTATGGCAAAATATTGCAACTCCAAACATGAACTTCATGCATATAATAGAAGAAATTTATTGTGTAAAAAGAAGGCGAGAGAGATATAACGTTATGTTGGGATAGATTGTATATTTTGTGATAAAAGAGGAAGATGATCTATGATCTGTTCCTGCAGGCCGAAAGCAGAAGATATTGCAAAAAAGAGAGAAGAAGACAAAGGTATATGTGTTATAATTTATAAATCTGCAAGCGATTATATTCTGTGCCATTTTATTAGTAGAATGTTACTAAATTCTTTTTCTTACATTCATCGATCTACGCTTATGTTTATGCTCTGTGAAGTGATTTCTCGAAAACGAAATTTCCACAACCTGAATTATGTAAAGAATATCTGTGTATGCAATTATACCTTGACTCGATGTGACAAATTTATTTGTTCCTATGATAAAAATAAAAAAATATCGTTGACGGAAACATACGCTACAATTTCATCAATGTATTATACATACGATTAGTAACAAGGGGATTTAAAGAAAAGTAAATTTTGGTGAAAGTAAAATTATTTATTTACTTCGTAATTTATACCGACGCATAAATTATGACGATGACAAGAAGTTAACTAAATTTAATACAATTATTAATTAAAAACGTGAATGAAGCTCGAAGAAGCAAAAATAAAATGAAATGTTAAAAAATTCCAATAATGCAAGTATCGAAGTAAAAAATACGCAATTTAGGCAGCATCACCGGCATCATTTGGTGAACGTATGTCATCGATTTTAAGTATCATTTTGACCAGTTGTGTAGCCAATAGAATTTGTTGTGTTTTACTTGTTAATGTTTCGATAACGTTTTGGACTTTCATATCTGAAAGAATAAATAACTATTTATTTCTAATTATTACAACAAAAAGCAATTGCAATTACTCGATGCATACCGAAAGTACCACGGTTTAGGCAATCTACACCAAAGGCAGGATTTTTTTCAGCCAACTGTGCTGCTTTAATGTCAGCTAAAGTATTTACAGGTGAAAGACCAGAATTTTCAGCAAGTGCCATTGGCACAGCTTCCAGAGCTTCGGCAAATGCACGAAAAGCATATTGTTCCAAGGTGCTGATCTTATTGGCTTTCTCTGCACACGCAAGGGCACAAGAAATTTCGGGGGCGCCTCCTCCATATAAGATCTTTTGATTTTTTATTACATTACGAACTGTACACAGTGCATCGTGGATAGCTCGTTTTGCTTCTTCAATGATCTAGAAATTGAAATAATTTATATAAATCTATATACGTGTACTGAGCAAATGAAAACAATAGTACAAAAAATTGTAGCATTAGCAACAACAAATTTCAATTAAATTAAATTTAAATTGAACAATAAAATATACTAATGCTTTTCTTTTGCAAGGTGTCTGGTCAGTTAGGTATATTTGAATACCGCTGAAATTCTCCTTGCTTTTAATTCTTCTACAAGAATTTTAAGTATTACTTACCATTTTGTTCCCACCACGAATGAAAATAGTAACTGCTCGAGAGTTCTTGCATTCTTCAATAACAAGCATTCGATCTTTAGTAGTACCAAATGTTAATTCTCTAACAACGCCTGCATGGCCAAGTTTTTCTGATGTTAATTCTTCGAAACGGGGAACAATACGGCCACCCGTGGCAATAGCTATTAACTGAAAATTTAACATTCTTTTTTACCGATTCCATTTTTCCTCTTTTTTTTTTACATAATTGACAAGGAAGAAAAAACCTCAGCCTTTAAAGGCCACAGGAAGTTGATCATTAGATAAAGATGATTAACTAATAAATTTAAGGGATCTTTATCATTTTCATAAAAGAAAATTAATAATTAGATCCTAAAAAATTAGCTTATTAACTTCATTTTTATCCTTTTCTATTATGTTTTGTCATCATTAGGCATAAATAAAATGAATATACAGTAAGTAGAAACAAAACTTACTTCAATTTCTGGACCACCAACCCATCTGACTGCAGGTAATTCATTTTGAAGGAGGAGATGATTAGCTTCATCATCAAATCCCCATTGACAAATAGCAAGTGTGGCACCAGCATTTTTAACCCTTTTGACCATCTCGGTGAATTTTTCTTGTTCGTATTCACGTAATGCTCTGTAATCATCCACTGAGGTGACATCCAACTTGTGTTTAGTTTTTGGCTTAGGTGGTTCAAATGGGCATGTCAAAATAGCTAGTTTGACATTTTCCAACCTCTATAATATAAATTTTTCTTTATTAGAAATTTTTTGATAAAATAACTCATATGAGAAAAAAAAAGAAAAGAAGAATGCCTTCAGCTCTCATAATCCTTTGATCATTGAAGCCACTGCAAAAATCCGATTATTAAATAGCCACTTAAACAGAGACTCTAACTTTTTCAATAATTAACAAAGTAATCAAAGAAACAGTGTCCAAGTCTCAACATTAAGTAAAGCAAAAAAATATTCTGAATCTTCACCCTTCTCTGATTCTGTTTATCATCATTAGGCAAAATAAAATATATAAAAATAAGAAATAATATACCGACTGATTTTTACCTTAGGCATTTGAGGATGGCTAAAGTCTTTGTCAATAACAACACCACGAACTAGAACAGTATCTTCTAATCTGCCACCAACTTTTCCTTCTACTTTTATTAATTCAAAGTTCACATCACATGCAACAGGATCTAAAACTGCAAATACAGCATTTACAGCTATTTCTGCCATTTGCCTGTGACACTTGTTGATGCTGAAAAAAAAAATAAAGGTATTGCTTTTTCTTGTCCACATTAAATTCAAATAATTGTAAAATATACTTACATTTTTGAACCCAGACTGGTCATTGCAATTTTTATGTACGGTTCCAGGTTGTCAGAGTTACCTTCGAAATCGTGTACGATTTTTTTTAAATGATCTGTTGCACATTTTGCTGCCATTTCAAAACCATCTGCTATTCTAATTGGATGAATTCCTTTGTCTAACAATTGCTCTGCTTGTTCCAAGAGAGCACCTGCCAAGACAACTACACCAGTAGTACCATCTCCAATTTCATCATCCTGAGATTGAGACAACTGGACCATTAGCTTTGCGATTTCATGGTCTACATCCATATTTTTTAAGATTGTTGCTCCATCGTTAGTTACAGTAATATCACCATCAGAACTGACCATTAGCTTGTCAAGGCCTTTAGGACCTAATGAGGTTTTTAGAATATTGGCTACATCACGGGCTGCCAAAATATGCGACTGCAATCAAACAATACTTATTAGAATAACATTACAGCAATAAATTTTCAGGATTTCGTTGGACTTCCTATACCTCCTCCTAATATATGGTATAATTCATTCATTAGATAAGGTCTCCTTAAGATCTCCTTATATGGGCAAATATCACCATCATTGTAATTCGTTCAATTTTTTAAATTATTTAAATATTAGACTCATTAAAAAAGCATGAAAAAATAAAATAATTTACAGATTACAATTTATATTATATTGCAACATTAAAATTAATGGCCGAGCCCAAAATGTCGTCATTCTTGTTTCACGTGGTTGATCTAATAAACCTTCAACACACGTTCTTAATTTTTAAATCCAGTATTTAACGAGTTCTTTAATTATGAGAACATATAAAGGAAAAATTATTACTGTTTCATCAATTCAACAGATGCATAAGAAAATTGTTCAAAAAAATATAAATTTATTTACCTTGATGGCATCAGTACCGGTTAGACGTTTTTGTTTTTCTTGATTACGGAGGATAATAAAAGGCCGACCATATTCATCAAAGGCCACAGTGCCAGGTATTGCCGTCATTTTCTTTGTCCAAAAAATTCGGACACTACGTTTAAAGCGATTTCAATGCAAAGAGTGCCCCTACAAACTTACGTTTCTTCGTCGTTAAAACTACACAACCATTTTGTTTCTCATAACGGATGTACGCGGATACGTAGTGCCCTCTATTCTAGAATGTTCTAGGTTTGGGTCAAGACTTGAGAGAGGAGGGAATTTAAAAAGAAAAATTAAGACTATAGTAAAATCTTAATTTTTCTTTTCTATTAAGGAAAGTAGTATTTTTATTTTCTATTAAGGAAAGTAGTTCGCAAGTCTTTCTCTTAAACATTGATTAGACACTTAAATAATTAAGAAGATCATTGCTTCAATCTCTTACTCTAGAAAGTATGTAAATTGCAAAAATCTTTTACCGCTTATTCAATCTTTTTTGTAGTTTTTTTAATAAATAAAGTCTTTCAGTATAACTATTTTTATTAGAAGAAAGAATCTAAAAAAATTTTAACGAAAGAAGAGAAGGATATTTTTACAGAGAATGATGAATAAATAAACGAAAAATAGGTTTAACTGTTTTATATGCACCACAGTTTATTTCACATTAAACTATTATAACTCTGTTATTATAATCTTGAACATTACATATATAGTTATACACATATAATTATCTTGGAATTAATTCATTTGATAGAGGTACTTTTGACTCCAGACATTCCCTCAATGAGTCGTACGTTTAAATAATATAAGAATATCTTCTATTCAAAATCTCCATGCTGGAAAGAACTTACTATTCTATGATATGTATCAGTTTCATTAATTAGTTCATTTTTATTTCTTTGGTTCTTTGAATAATATTAATCTAAACAAATCACAGAAAGAAAAAACAAAGACACACAACAGTCGTAAAAGAGTCAAAAGTTGTATGTAATAGATACTTGATCGCTTATCATAAATCATAATTGAACTTATAATTGCAAATTACTCGTGTCGAGGGAAGTAATTAATCAACCCCTGTGAGATGACATACGCACGACGCATCAGAGGGTAGTTATATTATAGATATACGTTTGCGGAAAATATAATATATAATACTATATAAATATATAGCGTTTAGGTATACATATCGATCAAAGATAAAAATATAATTTCAATAAGATATATCTCATGATAACGTTCACATTTAAAACTTTCTTAATGGATTAGGCATTCACATAATACGTGTTAGAATTCCTCTATACGATAAAAGGTCAACATTAGAAGTATAATATCGTGTAACTAGAAATATGTTCTCTTTGTGTGTTTGGACTCTCAATGACTAGCATTAGTAGCGTAGAAACGAGGGGTTGTCCAGATTTCGCAACAGGTACTTTACGCATCAGAATGTATTTCACGACAAGTGTTTAAAATAACACCGCGTCTCTCGTGATTACAATTGTAACATTTGCTTTATTCATATTCTTTATCTTCGTAATTATATCGACAATTAACACATCACTTCGTCTTATACGTCTTTTAAAATCACGACTCTAACATTTAAACATAACGATTTTCATATATATAGTGTTTTAATTATATTGTATTTAACATTAGGATTTTAATAACACTTAACGAAGCGATCTCCGAGGTTTCAATGTTCAATAGAGCGATTCCCGCGATTAATAGTAGAGCGATTCCCATCTTTAATCAAGTGATTTTCACATTTAAATCAATTTTTCTACCAACTATCTAAATACATCTCTAATAATTTGGAATATACGCTAGGTAAAGCAAAATTCATTGCTGCATTTTTC